TTGATGTCCCCCAGCCTTGCCCTGTGGTACTTTGTGGTCCGTCACCAGTGCGAGTCCCAGATTAATGATCCCGCAGACCTTCCATTGCCGCCGCTAATCCCCGGGCTGATCCCGACCAGGACGCCGAATGACAATCGACGTTACAGATATTGCGGAGATTTGGCTGATGGCTCGGCCATGATTGTCGGCAAGAGCACAATCATCAGCGACATTCAACACAAATTGGAGCACAGTTCAGGGAGGAACGACGAAGAAACGGATTACACACACACACAAAATGGGAGAAGGAAAATCTTTAAATTTACTAAAGCAGAAGTATGTATACCTTAGAATATAGAAAATATTCTAGTATATACCACTTGTATTACAATCTTTCAGTTCATGATTGTCACAATTATCAGGGACATTCAACACAAATTGGAGCACAGTTCAGGGAGGAACGGATCACACACACATGCAAAAATGGACACAGGAAAGTATATGTAAATATACAATCTTAAATTTGAAAAACAACTACATAAATTCTTCATTTCTGATTGTCATAATCATCAGGGACATTCAACACAAATTGGAGCACAGTTCAGACAGGAACGGATCACAGACATGCAAAATGGACACAGGAATATCTTTAAAAGATTGTAAAATTTACTATGACAGAAGTAAACACAATCTTCACACATGTACATTTCTGTTCATGATTGTCATAATAATCAGACATTCAACACAAATTGGAGCACAATTCACAGAAAAACGATGAAGGAACAGCTTACACACATGCAAAATGGGAGAAGTCTTTTACTAGGACATTATGTAAATACAATCTTAAATTAGAAAAACCCACTACCCTCTTCATACCTGTAGTATAATTTCTGTTCCTGATTGTCACAATCATCAGGGACATTCAACACAGATTGGAGCACAATTCTGGGAGGAACATATCACACACATGCAAAATGGACACAGGAAATCTTTTACTACTACAGAAGTAAACATAATTTACTACCTTCTTCATACATGTGTTATCATTTATGTTTCTGATTTTTGTAATCATCAGAAGGATTCAAAACAAATTGGGGGAGCAACGACAAAGGAACGAATCACACACACACAAAATGGGAACAGGGAATTCTTTAAATTTACTGCACATTCTTGGATTAAAGAATCTACCACCCTTCTCCAAACATGTATTATCATTCCTGTTTTTGACTGTCACAATCATTAGCAATGAATCTTTTACTACCGCGGCTACATTAGAAAATCTATTTCATGTCACTATCATAATGTTAGAAAATGCACTGAAAGAATGAGTCAAACACAGCATATTGGCAGAAGCATTTTTACTACAGAAATAAACAGCATACACAATCTTAGATTAGAAAATCTATACATACATGTACATGTATCTAAAGCTAGTGGAAGCACTCCTTTGATAGCTTTTCATTATATCATTTTCTCAAAAAATGTACTAAAAATATGTTACTTTTTATTAGTACGATGTATTTCTTGATTAAGACTTACCATAATACGTTTAACCATTCTAGAGTATCATAATTTATCACTCTGCATTAACAACAGTAGTATATATGTTCATGATTGTCAATAAGATCACAATCAACACAATATTCCACACAAAATGACCAAAGGCAGCTCTTTACTACAGAAATAAACAGCATACAATATTAGATTAGTATTAAAAAAAATGCCCGATCACAAAAATGTATCAAAACCCATTGTTACCGTAGTACATAGAACTGTTACAGGTATAGTACATGCATAATGTACATAACAGATCATTTCTGTAACTACATACAAAATGTGCACAAAAAAAGTACAATCTTGGGTAGAAAAGCTAGTGGAAGCTTTGTTTTATTCTAATTTCACTATCATGTCAAGTAAGAAAATGTATTAAAAAGCAACTACAACTTCAGTAACTATCAACCAAGAACAGTAACAGAATATTGTATTAAGTTTATTTTCTGTTAATAGCAATACACAATATTCTTGATAAATGATTTATATCTCTGTATATCATAGATGTATATGATAACACCAGAGTAGATTTTCCACAAGCACAGGCAACAGCATAATTAGTTGGCACAGAACACATGCAACACTTGTTAGTATCATTCAGCACACAGTAAGAGTAAAATAACTGGATTAACATCAAACAAAGCTTAGCTTGGAACACTGGTTCAAAATCCTATCTCTAATCTGCACTTGTGTTGATACAACACTGAATACTTTTTAAAGCAACAAGATACAAAAATAGCTAAAAATGCACTACTGCAAGCACTCTATTAGTAGACTATGGTACAACACATTAACTTCCATCTGCAATACAATGCTTATAACTGATTGTTAAGAAACCAGATTGTTCCACAATTTCAAAATTACTTCAGTGGTGACAGCATGTTTCCTGCATTTTTATCTGACTTCTTTAATATCATAAGTAACATGTTAAGAGCCAATTGGTCATTAAAAATCATAATTTCTAATGAACTTCTGCACTCAAATATCTCAGTGACTATTTTTGATATTGTGAGACATTCAAAGTATGTAAATATGAAATTGCTCTTTCAGATAACATGAATTTTTACTGTGAATCAAGTTACAAATTAAAACATGGGGCTTCCTACAAGGTACAATATATGTAGTAGTATCTTCAATCCAAAGTTTGGGGAATCAATTCCCAAATTTGAAGTGACTTCTGTTATTCCATTCGCTAAAACAGAATGACAGAGAAAAACACAGTGTGCCTCAGGTCTGTCCGTTATCAGTCTTCTTGTGTCAGAGCTGATATTTCTGTCAGCATTTTTTTCTACATACCTAAATCCTGTGTTATTTTTTTTCTCCACCAAACTCATTCATCTGCCTAGGATCTTGTCCAATGACAATCTTCAAGGCCACACTTAAGTCAATTTCTGGGTTCTCTGATTTTTGAAAATAATGCCTAACTGGAAGGTCAACATGTGTAAGAACCAAGAAAATAATTTGGTGTGGCCCAAAGCCAACAAAACACCAATGAAAAAACTTTTTTTTTTCATACAACAAACGAACATACTATCCACACCTCTATGAATAGTCTATGGCAAGGTACTCAAAATAAAATCTTTCAAAGCTACAAAAATTAGCTTAATTAGTGAAAAAAAAGGTTCTGTAACCTTCAGCCTGCTATAGTAGCTGTTTTTCAACAAATTTGTATTGGTTATGGTTAAAGTTAGTCAGAAAGACTAGCTACTGCTCAAATCATCAACCTGACAAAAAAAAAATATAGCTAATTTTCAAATCACAGAACTGTGAGAATAAATATCTCTGCCCTTAATTCCACTTTACCAGTTCTTAACACAAATCCTGAAGAAAGACAAACCGATCTGTTTACATCGTGTTTCCATAACTCACTGCTTTTTTGTGACAAGCGTGGATTGTAAGAGATTTTGCTTGTCCATTTCACTGAATTTGTTTAGATTTATTGTCGGGTAACATTCAGATAAATTGACTCAACTCATTTTACTTCATCTGTTTTTTGGGGGGTGTAAATTTGTCAAAGCCAAAAGACATACATGCTGAGAAGTTGTAATCCCCAAAATACCAATATTGAAAGAATGAACCTCTTTTGGATAAATTTCAACGCTTTAGTTCTACACACTTAATCTTTGCTTTTTGTAAACAACATTGTTAACTGTTTTTCAAACCCTCATTTCAACATAATTAATGCTTTCTTCTTGCAATCATCGTTTACTAGATTGTCTTTGATAGCTTTTTCACTGACAGTAATAACCAGAAGCAAAATTAACTCAGTCTCATCAAAGATGGTCCCCTTTCATGTTCCTATCATCTACATAAATTTTCTAATGACCTTCTGAACTTTCTTTTGACAGGTCATTTTTTTCGTCCCAACAGAAGAGGTGATCATCATTAAACAAAATTAAGTCTAAAAACTACCTTCCTAGCTACCACCTAGAAACATTTTGGTGGCACATCTGTAGCCTCCGTAGCAGGCTTATAGAACTGGGGATTTGGTGGTCTTCAGCTGTTTTCTGATTAGCCCAGTTCAAAAAACGGGGGTAATTCAACCAGGTCGGCTATGTTGTCTATATGCAATCAGAAAATAGCACATAAAAGCTCCCAAGGACCCTGAAGACCCCCAAAACCCCCAGTTTTTGACATGCTATGGATGCTAGCACATCTGTACATGTATGTGTGCCCAAATTAAAAGCATATACCGTGGTCGTTAACTAATCTCTTAAAATTCTTTGTGTGATCTGCATTATTGTTTACTTCTTTTTCACTTGCCCCACCATTCAAACCCCAGACTCTGCCCATATTCATGAGCTGGGCTTTGTTTGCAAATGAAGAGGAAAATTCAATTATGGCCGTTTGCGGTCGCAGAAAACAATTCTGCCGCGTCCCTGGTCAACTCTTGGCCGTTGCCATGGCAGCAGTGGTTAGAAACAAAAGATCCGCGGGTGCACTGTTTGACTACGATTTTTTTGTTGGATACCTTTTGTTCAAACATGTCAAAGGACCCCCCTGACGTTCCCTTGCAAGCACGCATCATCAAAATTCACCCAAAATTGAGGGAAAAAGGTAAGAATGATTGTCCACACAATATGACCAAAGGCAGCTCTTAACTACAGAAATAAACATACAATACCACAATATCACAAGACCCCCGTGATGATTCCCTTGCGAGTAGCACCCATCATCAAAATTCACCCGAAATTGACGAAAGAAAAAAAAAGGGAAGAAAAACATGTATAATTGCAGGTGTAAGTGGGCCTCCCATTTTTTTTAATTGCACAATTTGGCACAATTGGATTTCTGCAGTAATTGCAGGGTTCCGAGCGTGGGAATAACAGCCAGCAGATTTATCTGCCATGGGAAGTATTAATACTTAATGCTGTCAAATTGCCTTAATGATAGCGGCAAACCCTGTTTTTAAGGGTAATTATCAGAGGATTCTTGTGCTCTATTCAGGATTAGGTAACCGAGAGGCTGGCCTCTCAAATATCTGGGAGCAAAAACACTGGAACTTAGATAGATGCCAATTATTGAAAAATGAAAGAATTGTGTTTTTTTTTTTTACATCTGTTTTTTTTAAAATCATGACTTGAGGTGTGTAAGACTATAACTGTAAGTTTTACTTGATAAAACAATAATAAAAGTGTCCGCAAAGCCAAATGTTCTGACTAGAACTTAGATAGATGCCAATTACTGATAAATAAATGAATTGTGTTTTTTGTAAGGCTCTTTTGTGTCACCTGCCCTGTTTACAATTAAGTGTGTTAGACTGAACTGAAAGCTTTACTTGACCAAATACAATCAAAACAATTCAAAGTGGCTGCTGTTCTGATTGAGAAAGATACAGTATTGTACATTAACATTTGGAAGACAGAGAGCTGATACAATAGATGGAGTACACTGCATGTTGTTATGCTTGAGTGCACACACAACTAACCGTTAGGCAGAGCCCTCTAGCAATCACAATGGTACTGCAGGCACAAGCATTCAAAGGGACCAAGGTAAGGCACTACTTTACACATGTTAGGCTGTGGTTAGATTTCAAGAGATTTTTCACAGCACTCAAGGAATTTCTTGATACTGTTTTCCCTAAACAACATATTTTTACGGAAGAAAATCTCACTCTGATTGTAAAGAACAATTCCATTTCCAGAAATTAATTGATGGCTTTTCCTTCTAACTATCTTTCCAAATCTACATATTTATATGCCTCCTCTGCAAAACTTTGGCAAATCCATCAGAACAAAAAAAAAATGTATCATCTGCAGAGATGTCATTCCATGACACCAAGTAATTTTCTTCATCTTCTGTTGCCAGGCAACGATCCCTTGATTGACAGCTCCAATCTCTGAGTTGACGTTCCGCTGCCCTTCGGCTGACAAGGTTGACAGGTCTCGTCGGAAGGATACGGAGATAGCGATCTGATTGGCTGACAGTGGTCATGTGATGGGCGTAAGGAGTCCCCCCTTCACCAAGGCGTCGTAGTGTTTCTCTCGGAATGTCTTTAAGAAAGCGCTCATCTTCCCAGGAATCTTTGTCTTGCTCACGAAACCTGGAGAACACAGAAATGGCGAAAAAATTGTGATATATTGGTGAAGTGACTAATTAAGTTCCTGAATTACAAAATTTTTCTTCCCAAAACAAACCTTACTACTATCCTTATGTACCCAAGATCAATGAACAAATAAAAACTAAGTAGATACTAGAGAAGTAACATCTGCAAAGCAAATGCATAATGTTTACCTTCGGACATGGTCTGCCCTGTTAATTTTTACTCAAACATATTCACATACATGTACTACTAGTATATGGTGACAGGAGCAGAGCAGACCATGAAGTTTGCAACATTATGTAACCCAACACCAGTCACCATGGTGACAGACGTCAACAAATCATGTCATTGGCCAGGTCAGAGGTTAGTGTTTGGAGAAGAGGAAATTGAGTAAAAACAATATGTTTTCCTTCGGTAAACATAAATATAACTACATATATACTATGGCCTTTAATAGTATTATATATTGGGGTTAATGAAACTGGCTTTTTAAATGTTTTTGACCTTCTTCCTGCTGCCTAACCCTGTGACCAACACAACTCTGGTGCCAAATGGCTACTTTAGCCAACAAAGACAAATGTAAGTTAATTTTCCAAAAACTTCACTGATAACAAACAGAATGCAATGCCAATTGTTGCTACCAGTAGGACATCCCACAACAACTATCATAGGATGCCTCAAAGGCCTGTTTTCATTTTTTATTTTCGTCCTGACCCTCTGACAACCAAGAAATCAAATTGGTGTGGCCTTATATAGCATTAGGCAGCAGGGAAAGGGTTAAAAAAGGAAAAAAACAAAGCATGGTTCTTCCGTGAGGGGGGAGGGCAGACGTCTGAAAGAGATAATTGTCCCACATTCCCAGACATGCAAAGTCCTCTCCAACCAGTTGCCATGGCAACGGCAGAGAGACAAAAGACCGACGTCCCACAAAGGGTGCATCTCCGCGCAGATGGCCCCGGCTCTTTAAAACAACATGCAAATTCCCAAACTCCGACAAGGGCAAAACAAATGGATTAAAGCAGGCGGCGTGAAGGAATTAGCACACGGACGCTAGCCTCTACCACTAGTACCAACCAGGCTTCAGGAGGCGGCTGGAAAGAGTAGAAATCGGCCAAATAGAGAGATAACATGCCAGGGGAGTTTGTCTGCTGGAGAGAACAGTTTGCCGCTCCCGAAACACTGTTCAAAGTGTATTTCTAAAGGTTTCAAGTTTCAAGTTTATTCATAAAAATCAGTCTTGCAGCCAGTGCACAAACATACACTGATTTTTTACAATTGTGTAGTAAGTACAAATACAAATTAACATTACAATATGTATACAGACAGTCAGACACACCAACAAACACATTACAAAGCCACACATGGGCACTGAAGTAAAGTCCAGAGAGTCCTGCAAATAAACCATTCTCTCTCTCTCTCTCTCCTCTCTCTAAAGTAGTGAGTGGAGAGCGCGCTAATTGTCGCATAAAGCCGAAACGGAGGGCACATTCTGAGGCAGGCTGGGAATTTTTGCGGAGCGTTTTCCCCGCTAATAAACGACCTTTCTCGAAGCCTCGGTTGAGCGGAGGTCGGCCAGGCAGTGACCCGGCGGCTTGCGTAACCCCCTGATCACCCTGACCCCTTGTACCGCCTCATTTTGCGCGGCCACTTTGCAAAGAAAACCCATCAAAATCATCCCTAAATTGGTTCTAGTTCGGCGGCCACGCTCGCTTGCCCAAATTGCATACTCTTGTCTGTCTAAACGCCTGACCCTGAGTCTTGGCCCCGCGCGGACGGCTCACACCCGAACAACCTCGCTAATTCACGCCACAATCTTCGTTTGACATCAAATTATCGACAACAGACTTTTGATGCGAGGATTTGCGGTCGTGAAAAAAAAGAAAACTGACGCAGTGATATCGCTGGCAAGCTCTAATCTTGGGGAGAGTTTCCCCTCGCGCCAAAGTCTTCCCATAACTGTGGGTCTGACGCGTTCTTCTCCAATTTACCTCCCCACTGATTTCAACTGTGCGCTTTCATTTGACATCAAATTACGGCGAATGGAACATGATGCAGGGATTCGCCATGCTTCCATAACCCAGGTAATGTCAGGACTATCGGACAGAAATGGAAATATAATTCGCCCTCGCTGTCACATGTGAAACACAGCGCGGGCTAAATTACAGACCTCAATATGGAAGACACAAGACTTTTGTGGAGAACTCAAAACAACTTAAAGTACAGAACTTTTAGATCCAGCTGATTCCAGCGTTAAAACACTTAAATGTACTAAATATAGGTTGTAGAAATTGGAGATAAAAGATAAGATAAAAATATCAGATGAGGTCTGACTAGTTTAACAAAAGGTAATCTAAATTACAGACCTGAATATGTAAGACACAAGACTTTTGTGGAGAACTCAAAACAACTTAAACTTAAAGTGGTATGGAACTTTTACATCCAGCATTAAAACACTTAAATTTGTAAGGACTTATCTCTCCTACTAAATATAGGTTGTAGAAATTGTGGAAACAAGATAAGATAAAATATCAAAGGAAGTCTGACTAGAGTGACACAAGATTTTGTAGTTTCCAAAGAAGTAACAGATTAAGTATATATAAAGAGAACATTGGATGTCTTGCCCCTATCTTGTTTTTTTTTTCAAGCAGCCATTGAATGTTTAAAGCAACTTAGTGGGGACACATTCAGTAAAATAATTAAAGGAGAGTCAAAAAACAAAAGAAAAGATTTCTTAAATCCACCTCCATTGATCTGAAAATGGAATAGTCCATGAGACCCCAAAGTCACTCATAATATCAGTGTACAAACACCTGTAAACCCACAGAGGAGACTAACCCTGTACCTACATGTTACATGTATCTACATTTACATGTATAACATTTGTAGATCCACAGAGGTGAGTGACCATGGCCATCCACATACAATGATACATTCACAAATTTCAGCTGTAAATATATGTACATGTACCAATACCTATTTACCCACAGTGATGACCACTGTGTTATATATATGATAAAATGTAGACATGTAGATCCACAGAGGAGAGTGATCATCTACATACATCAACACTTCAGTTGTAAATATACTCACACCTGTCGACCCACACTGGTGACTACTGTAACCACATCTATCTATAACAATGTAAATATTTGTAGATCCACCAAGGGGAGTGACCGTGACCATCCCAATACATCAAAACTTCAGTAGTAAATATACGGACATCTGTCGACCCACTGTGGTGAGTGACCCAATACCCACGTACAGGGCAGTGAAAGTGTCGATACACCTGGCCTGCAGGTGTGCAAGTGGACCAGGTGTGGGCTCACCTTGGCCCTGTAATGGACACCCCCCCTCTAGGGACGTGTGTTTGTCTTAGTCACACAAACTGGGCTACATTTCTTCAGCCTCTTCTAGAGCCAACCTTATGTTGGGCTGAACCAATTCATTTCATACTTCCTATGACCAAGGACATTTGTTGGAAAAAAAAAAGACTTACATGAAGACTTAACTTAGTCTTAGAGGAAAATCTGGGTCTGACTGTATTGACTCCTAACATTGTGACAATGTACAATGAGTCTTTCCCCTCCAACTTTGTTTTCATATTCTTCTGACCAGTTGAGCATTATATTATCAAGTCTGAGAACCAACAACTTTAATTGGTATGGCCTAAAGGTAGATACATGTACATGTACCTTTTGTACATATACAAGGTGTATTTACAGTTGCAATGTACTAGCTACAAATGTGTACATGTACCATTCATGTCACAAGAGACCAGGATTTAAAAGCTGAACATAAAACAAGTCATCATCATACCTGACTTACCTAACATACCTAACTTCTTGCCTGGTTATGTTGTTCGTTGTGGTTGCCTATTAAGCTAAACAAATTAAGACAATCTGATGTCCATAGCCAATAACAAACACTATATTATAATATTTGGAGTCTGTAACAAGAGATAGTTGTTTGTTGAACCTTTACAGAGCTAGCGAAGATGTGCTGTTCATTAAGGCTTTACAGCATAACTTGGGACTCTTAAAACAAATCCCACTACAAAATGTATATCAAATTAACACAATCTCAAGTCCATGTAACCAATGACAGCCCATATAATCGAAATCTGTGTAATCTTGTTTGGTTAAAGCATGGATGTTTGTCCTCTTATGTTTTATACCACAACCTGGGACCCTTAAAACAAATCCTTGTCCACAGCTTGCACAATAAAACACAATCTAAAGTCCATAGCCAATGTCAAACACTACATAATACGTACTGTGTAATGAGTGAATGTTGTTTGTTTGGGTAAAGCACGGATGTGTTGTCTTTTATACCATAACCAGGGACCCTTAAAAGAAATCCTGGTCCCCAGCTTGCCCGTAAAAACAAAAGCGAATTAAATCAACACATCTGAAGTCCATAGCCGATGACAACCACATCATATACTCAAAATCAGTAATGAGTGAGAGTTGTTTGTTTGTTTGGTTAAAGCACAGATATGTTGTCCTCTTATGTTTTATACCATAACTTGGGACTCTTAAAACAAATCCTCGTTCCCAGCTTGCCTGATAAAAACGAAGACGAATCAAATTAACACAATCTGAAGACCATAGCCGATGACAACCACGTAATATACTGGAAATCAGTAATGAGTGAGAGTTGTTTGTTTGGTGAAAGTGAAGGTGATCGGCCGTCTGCAGGTGAGTGATAAACAGAGAACGGCGCTCGTTAGATGAAACGCTGCCCCTGGACATCAGGGACTGCCGTTTATCCCGCCGTAAGGAGGCTGACGAAATAATAAACTTCAGGCCCAGGAAAAAAAATCTTGTGTTTCCTGTTTCCCGACCGACCCTAGAAAAAACTGCCTTTTTTCGTGTGGACCCCTGCAAGGGACATAAATTTTCGAGCAGGTCAACCTGGTTAGGCTAGGCCTAGGAAAGGCGCCTTCTTTTAAAAAATCCCTACCTACCGACCCCAATTTTTTCAGGACTGAAACAGGAAAC